ATTAAACAATAATATCAATTAGTTCAAACTCCATAAATTTAACATAGTACATTGCTATATTTATAACTTAAATGTAGAGGCAAGTTTGACAGTTTTTTTCTCCTTCTATTTCACAGATGGATATGCATTCTTTTTCTTGCTTCAGCTTGAAACCAGATTACATGAAACAGAAAGTCCTAATGGAATAAGAATTTTATTATTTATATTTAGAATTTATTGAAATTTCCTTTACCACGTAGAGAAACATTTGTTAAGCAGAAAGCTTTCAATTACTTTTAATGTATGAATTGTGTTTATGTCTTTTATCATTGCCTAGTTTGTTTAAAGTTAATGCCCTCTATATAGTATTTTTGATAAAGTTAGTTCAGTTGGGGAAAGTGTAGGTTATCCTTTTGACAGGTGTTAGTAATTTGTACACAGAGTTTAAAGTAAAGTTTTTTACCATGAGAATTTCTTTGTTAACCCACTATTTCAAATATGTACATTAATGTAGAGGAAAATCCTTGTTTATTATACAAGCTTTGCAAGACTCCAGCTTATGGTGCTGTCATTGTTTGCAGTATTCTATTGGTAATGAATGTCGATGCCTTTCTAGGCAGTTCCCCAATATTTATTCCATATTAGTGTATGCACATTTTGCAAATACATTGTTTCGATGTGTCTCCAATGTTGGAGCTTGACCTGAGGTTTATAGCGCATAGCAAGATTTCTGAGCTACTTGTTAAATTAATGTGATGTTCCATTTGTTTTCTAATTGTTAGTCGAGGAAGTAGTTTCATAGATACGTTACAGGTTATGTTTATGAGCAAATGCTGTGAGAGTTTTTCTTTAGATCGAGGATTCATGAAATTTAGAGAGGCTGTCTTGCTCGTGTTTATGATGATTGATCTAGAACAAATAAAATACTCATGAATAACACCTATTGAATATTTTAACAAGTTTTCGCAATTACTGCGATAACAGTAGAATTTTAAAAACATTTTTAAAGTCTCGATACTATTAATTAATGTAAATAAATACATAGTCAACGTCAGCGCCTAATTCGTTCGATTTTCTCCAAAACTGATATTCCCCGACCGATATAGATGAACTTGAGACCTTGACAGTTCGAAAAGAATAATTTGATATTTGAAAGTAGTTCTACGTTTTCTAGAAAATCGCTCCAAAATTTTAACTAAAACTTTTTCCTCGGGTAGCGTGAAGGACTCTTTAAAGTGGTGCAGGTTTAATTTTCGTTAAAAATCTTAATTTTTCGAAAATTTGAAAAGTTCGGGAGATTTTTCGGCTTTTTCGCCTTTTTAGAATTACAATATTTATTTATTTTTCTTAATGAAATCTGTTGTTCAAAAATAGATTTTTAAATAAGGTTATATAAAATTTTTTGAAAATATGAGTTGTTTTCACATAATTTTACGTGAAATATATGCATTTTAAACAATTTATTTCTAAAAAACGGCTCCAATGTTTTTCGTAAATTTTATCCTCGTATGTATCAAACGACGGTAAAAAACTGGCGCGGGCGCCTTTAAGCTTTCTGTAATTTCGAAAATTGTAAAAATTAACATTCCAAAACTACGACATTGATTTCTTACAAAAAAATTGTTCTAAACTACTAGATCATTAATAGAAGATAATGTATTTTTTTGTTTTTAAACTAAGATTTTGCGTAATTTTTGTGTGAAATTAATGAAATTTATTCAAAATTCTTCTTCACAATATCGCCTCCCACGTTTCCCTTTATATTTATGCTCCGATACTGCTCTCTGATATTGTCCAAAGTTACAAAAGTAACAAATAATACGAGAAAGTATGTGATGTAGCATCTTTAGTTTCGTAACCAAAACCCAATATACCACTTTTTCTGTTGAAAAATATTTGATACTTTCTCTTTATTACGTAGTAAGTAGTATGTAGTAAGATGAGCAAATAACCAAGCGAGGTTAGCAACATTAGAAAATTAAAGATTTTCGCTCCTGATTTGTAGAAAACGTATTGGCATTGCTAAGCAAACTGCCGATTTGTCTTTATAATATTGCTAACAGAGTTGGAACTTCCACATCCAGCAACTAGTGGTGTTACAACACGTACTTTCTCGCACTTAATAACGGTTAAGTAGTATTATAACACCGCAATTTCTGTTCATATTAACACATTTCACTTGAAAAAATCATTACAAAAAGTCTAACATAAGTTCGAAAACTAATCCGTTTAAACATAATAACATCAACCTAAATTCAACAATTAAAACTGCGTTTCATACAGCCATAAAACCTTCCAACAAGGAATTTTCAGATTTTCAAACTGCGGAGTTCTGGCTCGTTGCAATACGTATACGTGTGGATCCCTATGTGGTTTTTAAATCATAAGAAGATTATAATGTACTTGATGAAGTAAACGCAATAGTTCAAGAAACGCCGTACTCCGCAAATATGTCGTGCACCATGGAAAGCGTTGTTCCATTGTTTTAAATGAGTTTTAATATGCATATCCCGGTTTGTGCTGGACCCTAAACTGACTGCCTATAATATTAAGATTCCTATAATTCAGATATTTTCACACTAACCGATCATTAAAATATATATTTCAATAAGTACTGCAATCTGATGTCTCATGAAAAACTCCAGCAAATAATGGGCGGAAAATTCGAATTTGCAAATTTCGAAAATTTACAAAGAGATGTTAAACTACTCTTTATTTAATGTACATGACCCTTTTTTTAAAAACTGATATTTTAGAACAGATTTCATTTATCAAAAAATCTTTAAATTTAGTCTCAACATTTTCAAAATTTTCTCAAAAATGGTTCCTATTTTTTTCGTTCATTTTTGCCCTCTAATGGCGGAAGTCGCATTTTTGTTGACTCCCGAAAATTTCCAAAACTGCAAAAGCTCAAAATGTTTTCAGCGTCTATCTACAATAATGAAGATCATTTTTTCCTTTGTGAAATATGTTCATCAAGAACAGATAAATTCAATTTTTCGAAAACACTAGTAGTTTTTAGGCGAAGCTGGCGGTTTTTTAATTTTAAACAGTTATTTTTTCAAAAACAGTTCTAATTTTTAATTTTTTTTGTCGTATGTAGCAAAAAATGGTGTAGAAAGTGGTGCTGATCTCATTTCTGTGAACTCTGAATTTTTGAAAATTGTAAAAAATTAACTTTGCAAAAGTACAATATTGATGATAGAGATTTTTTCTTCCATGAAATCTCTTCAAACAAATAGATTTTTAATGATCATGTACAATTTTTTGAGTAGGTCATACTTTTTGCATGAAGTTAATGCGAACTAAAAAAATTCTATATATGGTCCCTACTTTTGGCTTTAATTTTTTTCTTGTGTAGAGCCAATAATGATTAAAAACTTGGGTAGGTCCCATTTTATGCCTAAAGGGTTGTAGATAAATGGAAACAAAAAGTAACATTGTAAAACTACAATATTTTTGATAGCTTGTTTCCTTAATGAAATCTGTTTTTAAAACATATCTTGATATAATGTAAATAAAAGTCTCTGAATATTTTATAGTTGCAAATGCAAATAATCAACTTTTTTTTAAGCATCAGGAAGGTTGTGTTTTGCTGCGCAGTTGGTGGTGAAGGGATAACATGCCTAATGTATTAACTCTGGGGAGTAGAGTTTGATTTTCATTTCAGATACAAAATTTTGGCTGGTTGGAAACAGTTTTACAGGTTCATATGATGTTAGGCCCTATAATATTGCTTAGCCACTACAAATAATCATAGACAGTACATGTTGTAGCACCATTTGTTCGGTATAAAGGATCCACAAAAAATGGATTCTGATAATTTAGCATGTTAGAGGAAGTAATCTAGTACATATAAGAACTAAAAGTTTCTACTTATTTGATACTCAGGTTCAACAAAACTGAGTTCTCTCAAAATGTCTGCTGCCCTTGGTTGCTGTTTGCATGCATGCCCACTCCTGCGATTGAATCAACTTTGGGCAAATATAGTATTTTGAAATTCAAATTTTGTAAGATATTGTTGGTACACAAGGAAAAATTGGTTTCAAAAATTGGAAATTTTGAGTTAAATAGATAAATAAGATTAGAGATGCTACGGTATGGTAAAGATGGTACTACTAAAAAAAAATCATAAATATAATTTACAAGGCAGTGGATATGTGTAATAAAAACAATTACCTTTTACTCTGTAATAAACATCTTTATGCAAAATAAAATCATTCTACAGCAAAATGACATCGTTTAGATGGTTTACATGGCTTGTACTTTGACAATATTTTCCAAAATATATTGATTTACCACCTTTTTATATTCTATCCCCTGCCCCATGGTCATCAAAATCTTTCGATGAACTCAAAAAAAGGTGTTCATCCTTCCCTTTTAAAGGGTATAAAGTTACTTTAAATATTAAGAAAAAATCAACAATGCCTAGAAAAAAATTGGTTAGGTTAGGTGAAGCAAAAAAAAGGGGGCCCCATTATCAACTATTGCCCTGGGGCCCCCAATTTGTCACGGTGTTGAGATTGAAATATTTTAATGTGCCAGTCGTGAGGAACCTGGCTTTTCTCTCAAAAGATCTCAAACAACAATCTATTATCACTAATGATAAGCTGGCACTGAAGTAAGGGTTAAAAATTAATTGTCATTAACTCCCATTAAATGAGAACATATTGAGAAAATTTTGAATATGTCCTAAGCGATTTATGTAAAAACCCCTAAAAATTAAAAGATTCTTTTCAAATTAAACAGGGAATTAATCAACAATTAATATCACCGAGATTGACCAGGGAATGTCTGTTTTGATGAAAATCCTGTTTTGGGCTTAGGCTCTTATGTTCACAAACAGAACAATTTTCAAAAAACACCCCTTTTTTGTATCAGCAACCCTGAAAACATATTTCTGTTCAATTTTGACATTGATTTTTTGCAGCATTACACACTTTCTGTATACTTCATATACAAGAAAGTAAAAATAATGAGATTTAACATGAAACACAATTAATCTATTTGCTTTTCACTAGGATGTTATAAATTACAACTGTCGTTCATTAGTGGCCTCAGTGCCATTCTTTGCAAATGCAGACACAAATTTTGTGTCTGATGTTGTCACAAAGCTCCGTTATGAAGTCTTCCAGCCAGGTAAGAGTAACAGATAAAATAATTCAGTAGGTACTTCAAATTACATATTTACTTACATTATTTTGCATTTGAAACCCTTGGTTATTTCGAGACATTTACATCAATATGATGGGGCTAGTTTCAAACCCTCCCTGTCTCCAGTTCTGGATTATGCTACAGAAACCCCAAATTTTGGGACCAGTTTCTCTTCGAGTTCAATGATTTATTATTTGTTTCAATGACTATTTTTTTGAATAAGTTCATAATTCCTTTTATAGTTTTGCAGTAAACCACATTAGGATCATATAATTGGCATTTGAAATAGGAGATTGTGAAGTTTGATGTAATGGCATTGACATTTTTGCATTTGATCTTACAAGATATGAAGTTTGTTGATTCTGACACTATGTAACCTCAACATTTTCAGTTATCTTCTATGAGATGACATTCATTATTGCCGTTACTGTGGAATACTAAAATCACTTTCAGAAGTTACATGGGATTTACAATGTTCATATTGGCAAATTATAATATTACAGTAACAGTGCAACTGTAATTTGTGAGGATACCATTTTGTTTTAATAGGTGTTTTAGGAGTGTGCATACTTTGCTAACCAAGTTTTGGAGAGAACTGGATTTTGATATTTATTTCAATTTTTTTTTTATAAAGAATATCATATTTTTGTGAAGTTTTAAGAAACTTGGAATAATAGATAGATAGATCTCAATATCAAGATTATTCTTGTGATAATAATTTAATTTCTGAAAGAAAGAAAAGAGAGGGAGAGAAAAAGAATTTGCTACATTTGAAACTAGTCCTCTTGTATTTGAAAATATAGTGTCACATTCAGATAGCTTAATACATTAAGTAAATATATTTTAATTTTATAATGTAAATGTACCTTCCTAATATTATTAAGTTGTATTAGAAAGGTATATTTATAAAACATATACATTTATATATTGCCTTAAAATCACATTTGTAGGAGACATCATCATCAAAGAAGGCACCATTGGCACCAAAATGTATTTTATTCAAGAGGGCATAGTTGATATTGTAATGGCCAATGGTGAAGTAGCAACAAGCCTCAGTGATGGGTCATACTTTGGCGAAATCTGTTTGTTAACAAATGCCCGAAGAGTAGCAAGTGTGCGGGCAGAGACATACTGTAATTTGTTTTCACTCTCAGTGGAACATTTCAATGTTGTCCTAGATCAGTATCCCCTCATGCGTCGCACAATGGAAAGTGTGGCAGCTGAAAGGTATGTATTTCATTCCTACTATTTCAAACTAGCATAAATAAATTTTTTTCCTATTACCAAGTACAACCATGTTACTATATAGACGTTACAATACATTTAATACTTTTTATTTAAGAAATACATGAATTATTATTGTTATTTTAAACAAATGATGTGATATTTAATGCATTTTGCAGACTGAACAAAATTGGAAAAAATCCAAACCTTGTGTCACATCGAGAAGAAGACATGGGGAGTGAAAGCAAAACAATTAATGCAGTAGTTAATGCGTTAGCAGAGCAGGCAGAGCATGTGAATACCTCTGAGGAATCAATGGATAATCAGTCCAGTGATAAAAGTATTCATGAGCTGGGCAAAAACCTGCATGAATTGGGTAAGACACTTCACAGGTTGAATCTGCCACGACCAAAGTCTGAAAATAGCTTTGCTTCTCAGGAGCTAGCAATGAACCGCACCAGTCGGCCCATGTTTCATAAGTCCGACACCTTCCATAAGGATACAGCTTTCCAATGACAACATTAATGAAGACCATATGTGTGAGTGAAGATTATTACTTATTGTGTTGGTAAATAAATCTTCTAAATGTGTTTGGATGAAACAAGTGTAAACATTTAATCCAATAAAGTGCGGCATATGAAATGGGGCACTAAATTTTTGCTAAAAAAGTATTTTTCTGGTGCTCAAGAATGACATGGATCCAGAGAATCATCTTCTCATCACATTGTTTTTGTTTATAGCAAGTGTGAGAGACACACGTCCAAGTGGAAAGCTAGCGTTCGTGCAATATTAGAAATTTAAAAAATATAGCTTTAAATTAGGGTGCTCAATAAAATTGCGTTTTTACACCCAGTCTACGTCACAGTATGTGTGGTGTAATAGAGTATTTTATTAGTTTACACAATTAGGACAGTAAAATAGGCCTAAATGTAAAGAAGAGATATATATAAATAAATATATATATATAATATGAATGGCAGGACCATTAATTAGGAATAGTTCTTGTTGAGAAGGTTCTATATTTGTTCATAGCTATTTTCAAACAGGCAAATGTTTATTATAACATTCAGAAGTGGCTTTTTCATACAACAGTTAACTTTGAACTTCGCAATTGTGATTGTAATGAGCTCATTACTGTTTCTTGCTGTGTTTGGGGTATATTTATTTAAAATACCCAGTCTTGTAATAGAATTAATTTCTGACTATAGATACAACTGCACATAATTTCATGTGTGCATTGTGGATTCAATGCATTTGGATTAAGAATTAAACATCTTCAGCCAATACATAATTTAAATTATTTACATCAGCATTTCTCTTCTTTTGTAGTATATCCAAACTGATTTCATGAGAAAGAGGAATTGTTTATTAAATATGTTATAAATATATATATAAGATGTTTCATCAATATTTTATACTATGAAGAAGAAAAATATATATGTGCTATCTATACATTATTAAAAATGGTTTATTAATTAAAATATGGATTCATTTTCTGATAATCTGTATTTTAATTAAGTTGCATGGTCTGGATATATGTAAGATAATAACCTGCATGAAATGTAAATTCCATGTGGAAGGAGTTTCTATCACATTGAAATGCTGATGTAAATTCCAGTCAAAACATGAGTGCATGAAGGAATGTATGTTTTCAAATGTAATATGAATAGGGTGGCCAGATTCTGAAAATAAAAATCTGGAGCATTTTTGACTTGAGGACTGGGTTACATGGGGCCAAATAAATAACTCATGAACCTGTAGACTGATTTCACTCAAATACAGAATATATGAGAAATATGGCTCAAAGGTAAGTCTTATGTACAATAATTGAAATTGTTCCACCAAGAAAAGAAATTAAATTCTTCATGAAGCCCTTACAATAATAGTAAATCTTTTTTTTTTAATCCAGACATTTAAATGAAACATGATAAAACTCTATACAAAACTTAGCACAGATTTTTTCTTTCATATTGTGATCAAATTGCCACACCGTATTAAAAAAATGAAATACTTCCTACTATCTTCCCTCCAAAGAGGAGACACAAAAGGCAGTTTCCTTGTAATGAAAACATTAGTTGGAAAAGTGTAGAAGGTACAAGTAATTATTAAATTTTCTGTAGGCTACACCTTCCCAAAATCAATCTTTGTCATAGTATACTTCAATAAAGCATTTTATTGTATCATATAATTTATTTCTGTTTAATTCAGAATTATTTTGGAAAATGATAACAATGATACTTTTTTGTAAATGTTATTCAATTTACAGATGCAAAACAAGTTAGAATACCTAAATATCCACGAAAAGTTTAGTAAAAATATATTTCCCTACTGAAATAAATCTGCTCTGTAATTTACATATCTAGAAATCACTCATCATCACATTCTTTGTTTTGATGGTTGCAAAGAAGTGATCAAAATATTAACCAATTCATTCTACTCTACCAAACAACTATACAGCAGTCATACATTGAGTTATTAATATTATTAATAAGAGAAATTGAGAAAAATCTATTATCTGTTTCGGATATCCATAATCATCTTTTCTATTGTTATGCTCATAGTTATTTGTTTATGTTAACTTCATTAAATGACATTATGACTATGAATCTATTATTATAGAAATGTCACAATGCATGAATCATGCACTGGTACTACTCATTATCTTAGTTAATAAATAACTGAACATAATGTTTTCATGATGAGGAAATGCCCTCACAAAATAAAAAAATTAAAAAAAAAATCAAATTTATTAGTGGGGACTCAAACAGACTTGGTAAAGTAACAGAGTAAAGAATTATGCCAAAAATAGAGCAAGCAATATGTGAATAGATAGTATAATCAAGAGAAGCAATGAATGTTTGTATGACATAATATATGTGTATGCATTTTTATATGTATGTGTGGGTACATTTCCATTGTAACAATGATGATTGGATTATATGGTTTTGCTGTATGATTGTCAAGAAAAAAAATATTATGAAATGTTCACTCAGATAGAAAAATATTTTATCAAAAAGTTGTTTGTGGTATTTTAAGTGAGCTTGTAACAGCTGAAATCTTTCAAATGATCATGAGAAGCATGTTACAAAAATATTATTTGACAAAATTTTATTCCTAAAACACAAACTCATGTTCTATAATTTATTTCTGAATGTGTATCATTATACTTCTGTGCATTCTCCCAAAACATAGGAGTTGTTTTGATGGTGCAGTTTATTTCTTAAAATATTTCCACAGGATGCCTTAAAAATTTAATGAAAGGAATCTTGAACTCTTTCAATAGAATTTGTCAAGGCAATAAAAATTTGTTAAAGAAAGTATGCATTTATAATCAATTCATTTTTAAATTTTGGAAACTATTCTTCAATATGTAATAATGATTTCTAAGGCTTCCTGTTGGTAGATATATGGTTACAACTGGACTTCCTGAAGACATGAAATATTGTGATACATCATTCAGTTCCCCTTCATTCTCAATCATTAGAACTATTGTCATTTTACACAATTATTATAAAATGTTTGAGTGAAATAATCACCATTCATGAAAAGTTATAGACTATATTAATATTTTATTTGAACAGCATTCAAGTCAACAGCTATTAATATCAAAACAAATTTTGTTAATTAGCTATTTAACTTTAATCTTTTTAGAAAACTTCTAAATTTTTATCGCATAATGTGTTTGGGAAATAAACTATTTTCTGAGAACTCAACACAGATATTTTTATGTTGAATTTTAAAGTTGAATATTACTTTCTCATATACCCAGTATTCATTCCTTCAAATTGTTGGATCAAATATTCTCAATCAAACTGTTCCTGCATGAAATGAAACTTATGTATGTATTTTAGATCACATAATTTGTATGTTGTTCCATATGTACATGAGCGTAAAACATGGTAATATATTTTTTAATACTACAGGACACTTCTTAAATCTGAGACTGGCCCAGAAAATTGATATCTGTTCACCCTATTTAAACGATAGCGAGTGATCATCTATAGTCAGACCGATCGTCAAGAAAATACCTGACTGATAAATTTTTTACTTGTAAATTATATTATTAATTTACTCATGATTCTTGTAGAGAAAGACACTTTTGTTCTGTATAAAATTGTTAATTTAATTCCTTTTTGAGGGGTTGCATAGTAGAATATCTAACACTTAGAGTATTAGCATCTTTCATTTCAGAAAATGTGATGTTACTGTTGAAATAGATGCAACTGTATTGCTGATATTTTTTACCAAAAGTGCTCATTGTTATTACAAAGTGAGTGATCCTTATAAAGAGTGTTAATCTAGTTTCTAAAAGTGCCGAATGTACACATTCGAAGAATTTCACTGCTCGTTATGAAATGAACAGTAGCTGCAATTAATGCAGTAGCTATTACAAATTTTCCCATAAATTTGCCAAATATACATATATATATATACAACCATAAATCATATACAGAAACATTAATAGTATGTTTTTCTTTAATAGTCACAAATGTTATAACCAACCACTCTGAAAAATTTGGCAAACCATCCCAGCCAGACTTTTTTTCTACTCAATGGCTATTGTAATATTTGTATCAAATTACCTTATGAAAGCATTTCTATTGGTCCGTTCATAATTGATGTCTAGTATGTTTTTAAATTAAATTTCTTTGTAGCCATCTCCTTTGAAAGGCACAACTGGAATTATATTAAAGAACTAAAACACATATTCTTCAATAGTATCCAACTGTATTGCATTGAAATCTGCTTGTGACATTTTTTCTAGGGACCTAAGTATTTCCATTGTTAGGTTAAGCATTTACAAATTATGTATACCAATGAACAGCTTGAAATGAATGCCTTAAGCAAGAATGTCTTAAGTGGATTCCATAGCATGCATTTATTTGTTCCATAAATACAATACCATATCTCATATTGCTTTGGTATTTTCTTTGGTACTTTTGTCCTATTTTTAATTATTATAATAATAATAATTATTATTATTACTATTATTCCAATGCAAACTTTGTTTTTTGTTTTTCTACTAAAATTAATTTTCAAATTGTTGCTAAAAGGGTAGATAATGACAACCTATCCCTGAACTACAGAGATACTACCTTTATAATATATTTGCAGATTTGATGAGGTTTGTAGGAAGGTACAATGGATTGTACACATGTCTCACAGGAATGCCAAGGGACATTGTCGTAAGTGGTCTCAAGGCAGAGCTAATAATACTGCAAGGGAAAGAATGGAAATTAACTGTAGTTTCATTTGTTTTTGAATTTAACTTGCAATCCATTTTCTAGGTAGGGAGAAGGTCACAACTCAAAAAAACGTATATAGGTCTGTCACAAAAACAAGATGCTGCTTCATATTCATGAATTCCTCATATGTAATTTGAACATTTCTTAAGTAAGTCTTTAACATCCTATGGTGTTTGCAGAAAGCTCTTCAATTGCACTACTTATGATAGTGTCTCACATAAAAATACTAAAATATATTGGATTATTATCATTGTGTAATATTTTTGTAAAGTTGAATGAACCATCATGTAATATTTTGTACAGTTCCTTCAAAAAATGGTTCATAGCCAACTGAGTGTTATATATATATACAATTCTGTTGTAACATGAAAAATAGTTAAACAGAAAAACATATCATGTGGCAATACTTGATGCAAGTGCTCAACAAATCCATAATAAATTTGTTGGGATTATCAGTCAGTATTTTTTGTCCAATTTGGCCAGAGGGCGAGATACAGAAGTATACCAGAAGAGAGCCACGACCTAAGTTACCATTTTGTTTTTCTACAGAGAATGATAAAAGGGCTGATGGTTATTGTTAATTATGTTACCACTAATAAATAATTATTGGCATTGTATTTTCTGTGAGCTTTACGAATTCAGTGTTTTAAGCATCAATTCAGATGTTCCTGTGAGTTCAATGAATAGCTAATTCTAGACATAAAATTATGCATCAATTAATTTTACAATATCAATTCACATATAGTAGAAACTCATGTGTTTAAGCTTTCATAAGTTTCTTGGTAAAAGTCTGTATAAGCTAAAATTATATTCATTGCTAATGAATGGTAAGACCAATAATTACCACTCTAAGCCAATGAAAAGCTCTAATTTTAAAATAGTTTTCTTAGTGTTTTGCAGCAGTAGAGACATTATTTTAACTTCTGAAGAACTCATAGGCATAGGTTTTAATGCATATAATTAGCACTCGAGAAGGTATGCAAAGATGCAGATAGCATTAATGTATTAGTGTTATTGATTTAAAGCCAGTTAGTCCTCAGTTAAATTGAGAATAAGGCCTCGTATATATTTTAATTTTCATCAACTTCAAGACTATCAGAATTCTTTTAATATCCCAGCTACTTTGTATTTATTTTTTAAGTTTAAATGTTCAGAAAATAGTACTGCATTATTTATCAACAAAATAAATAAGTTTGTTCCCTGAACACACTGTATGGTGTTTTTATCTGTTTCTCAAATTCGTTAGAGATGTCCACACAAATGTGTGCATGCATGTATGTACATATGTGTGGCTATATATGCATGTGTTGAATGGTGAGATCAGTTTTAGCTAAAAGCAGAAATTCATGGTTGGCTATTGCAACATTATCACTGTTGTTGTTGTTGTTGTTAATATTGTTGTTGTTAATCATTTTTGCAAAACATAAAATTTCATAATTAATATATGTGTGAATCACATTGACTTATATTAGTTGATTTTACCATACAACACTGAAGATTGTACAAACCTTATATTATGTACCGATTACATAGTTCCTTCAGACTTTATTTTACAGGTGACAAGGAAAACCATACCTTAAAGTATAAAATAAGTGTTTTCATCATTGTGTACATTTTTTTGTTTCAGCATCTACAAAGGCTTTCACAAAGCATAGGCAATGTTTTCAAATAGTTCAACAATCATGTATAATTGTTTACAAAATTGTTTTCTTGTCAAAATTATTATATTTAATGTTCAAAATTAAGTATTATCATATTTGTATACAAAATAAAAAGCATTATATTATTCCAGAAAAGAACGTCTGAATATATGGAATTATTTCCATAAAAATTTCTGTACCACTAAATTTTCACCATTACATAACAGAATATTAAAATTCCAAATAATCCATATTTTAACAATTGTAATCAAAATTTTTGTTACATTTGCTGCCCCATTTTATCCCTTTCTACTCACAATAGTAGATTGCTATTTTGAAAGTGACTTAAATACAAATTTATTTTACAAAATGAATTCAGAAAGTAAAAAATTCACTACGTTTTCTCTCTATATGTATATAATGTTGGTAATGGGATGAAATTGAAAGAGAACCATAGCACCTACATGGCTTTGAAATATCTTGTTGAAATTAACTCAAGATCTAGAGAAAATAAAGAAATTCTATAAACATTTTATTTTTGTAGTTAAAATACTAATGTACATTTGCAACAATATATTCAGCTGTGATTCACTTCTCCACCAATTGCTAACACTGAGTATTACTTTTGTTCATTATTACATCAATGTGTAAATACTTTCTTCCCATAAGTAAACTTAACATGAAGCTGCAATTCACATCCTGAAGAAATTTCAGAGAATGCATGAAAATCATCCATTATTTGAAATGGAAATCATCATTCCATAAGCAATACGAGATATAATCTCTCTGAACAAGAATTGTTACTAAGTACAAAATTTTTATCCAACTGGGATCTGAGCCCAGGATCCTCAGATATTCACAGATGCCCTATCAACTGAACTATGGCATTAACCTTGCCTTCACAACAATTTTATGATCTCACAGTAATTAACAAACATTTATACGGTACAATTGTCACGAATGGTGTAGATAAACAACGTATTTCATTTTGTTTATCTTCACCCTGCACACTAATTACTTTTTCGTAAATAATCTCACAACACGGCTCAACACAGGATGAAACTGAATTGCAAAATCATAAAGTTGTGAATGGCAAATATACGTTAATGTACGAATATGTTAATCTATGACACCGCAGGTTGCATACAAGTGATTTCTTAAGAGGGAGTATTTATGTCTTGGGAAAATCAGTCATTTCCACAAAAAGTGTCAATTAATGGAAGTGACATAGAAAACAATTGTGGAAGAATTAATTTCAGATAATGGAGATTTTAAACACGTATTACTGGGCAACAAATTCCATGTCCTGGTATTCAGAATTTAAAATAGCTAAATTTGGAATTTTTTTACAAATTTTATTTGATAAGAAACAGATATCCTGTCAGTGAACAAATATTTTCTTAATGATAATATAAACTGGGAAATGGAACACCCCAATGTTTCATGGGAACAATTTTACTTACATTCTCTAGAAAAGAACAAAACTTTAAACTGGTATCAATTGTGTCAACTGTCTGGTATCAACTGTGATATCCAAAGAAATATTACTTAGAAGTAGGTTTCTTTGTTTTTGTTACATTTTTGAAAAATCTAATTGCTTTAGAATTATAAAAATGTTGTTCAATAGTTGAGCAGCTTTTTTCTGCTTCAAGACACTAGTTACACAATAGCTCCACATAATAAATGAACAAAAACATTTTCAACTAACATTTCCTGATCGTCAAAACTGTATAATTGTACAAATCATACAGCTGTCTTATTGAATATTTTGTCTTGATTTGTTCAGTCCCTTTTTATATTTAAACAGTCACTTGCAATTTGCAGCACACATTCATTAATATGTGAATGGTATTGATGGATGTGGTACAAATGGTATAGTGAACATGATATTAATGAATGTGTGCTGCAGATTGCAAGTGATTATTTAAATAAAACAAAGGACTCAACAAATTTAGAAGAAATATTGAACTAATAACAAGCATATTTAAAAATACTCCTTATTGAAGCTTACTCACAGGATTTGTTCTGAAGTACTTCACATACAGCCTAGTAACTTCTTGCAGATCTGTAAATGCCATAGTTCCTTCAAAATGTAGTAGCATTCAAAATGTCTCTCTGCAGTGGCTGCTTCATCACACCTATTCCACACTTCTCTTACCTTCTCCCCATTCCACTCTGTGAGCATTCTTTTGCTCTACACTTTTAGTTGTGTACATTTTCTGGTAATTTGTAATATGGAAAGAAGGTAGTAATATTCTTAGTCTGGAAGTCGGAGAGGGCAGTAAGAGACAAATGCTTGGTATTGCATGAAGGGGTGTGGCACCACCCTATGAATCTCGTTTTCCTAGAATTTACCTTTAAGTGTAAGTGACATCCGGTGTTCCACAGGTGGCCCTGGTTTCCTGCGACTACCCGGGGAGTAAAAATAGAGGTAGATAGATAGATAGATTTATTAAAGTTCGCTTTGAGCTAATGCTCGGTGGCAAACATGATAACATTGGTGGAGAAGCGAAGTTTACACTGTTCAGGAGCAAAACAAGGGGCCATCGTCAGCATTTCCTAAAAAGGACCAGGAGGAAACTGAACAAAACCTGATTGAGATTCGCGGCGTCATGGCCTAGAAATACATTCCTTTGTTACAGTTAGATTAAGCATATTAATACAGTAGTATAAATATCTGCTAATAATTAACATTTCATTATGTTAGTATTTAATGCAACTGACTTATAATAATAATTACATTAATAATATGATAAATGAATAATAGATGAATAATAAATAAAAATAATAATAATCAATAATAAATAATAAATAATAATAGATTAATAATAATAATAATAATAATAATAATAATAATAATAATAATAATAATAATAATAGCATATAATAATAAATAATAATAATAATAATAATAATAATAATAATAATTAATTTCGGACACGTCTGGTGGAGTTGGGCAACTCTAGTGCATGCATGTAAAATCCGCATAGTAGAGAGCAGAGCGATTAGGTGGGCATTGTGACGTCAGCCAATTGATCAGCGCCACGTAAAATTGTAGCATTGGGAAGCGTACCACAGAGGAGGAGTAAGGCTAGCAATCCAAAGAGAAACGGACAGTGCCGAC